ATATATATATATATATATATATATATATATATATATATATATATATATATATATATATATATATATATATATGTATGTGTGTGTGTGGTTTCCTACGTTTACAATTCCACTCGCGTAACGTTATGTAGAGGTTTTTGAGTTGTTTTCAGACGAGTGTATACCAAACCGGGCAAGCAGAAAATTCTACTTGACCGCGGCTGGGATTCGAACCCGCGACCTTCGCATTTCTAGAACGATGCTAGAGTGCTAAGAGTTTTAAAAGAAATTCTAAAACAGAATACAAAGTTTTTACCCAGTTAAAGCAAGAGTATACAATTTTATGTAAACATTGATTATATTTCACTGGGGAAACAATCGATTGCAAATAAATACGCTCCTTTAAATACCCAAAATATAGGATTTATTAGAGAGAATATCGAGCTAAATATATATTCTGTATATAATTATTAATGTACTTATTTATTCTTCATTGAACATGTTCAGTTCAACAAAATTGGAAAATCGACAACACAGTACTTTACGCAACAGCGGTTATTTTATAATCGCTCACAAATATCAATTAATATCCAATCATTATTCTGGTTAAACAAATTTTCTGTCGAATACAACACTCAACAGCAATTTTCTGAGGATTCTGCCTTTTCTTGTTGATATGTAGAACTAAATCCGAGACAGTGTCGTTGAGTGAGCTTCGAGAAGAACATCCATATCTATCGTCTCTGTTAACGTTTTCAAGAGTTTAATTTCAAACGTCCAGCCAGGCCTTATTAACAACTTGGAATTCGTCCCTTACAATCACCGTTATGACATTTTTTATGAAAAATACATATCAATAAAAACTTCGTTTCATGGCATAATCCTTTGTGTTGCTTTATTCATACTCCTTGTATTGTTTTGAACTCGAACCCCCCATAAGTCCCAATTGTTATCTCCCAAAATCTGGGAGACACGTGACCAGCCTGGACCAGGGTCTTTCCTCCAGCGAGGCGCGTTGTGGAAAGAACCTGGGTACGAGGATGTTGAAAATTGTAATTAGTACTACAAACTACTACTATACATATGCCCTTGTTAAAGATAATTAATCAATCACTTCATTTCTTTATTATTTTATTATCTAATTTTAATTTCTACCTCACAAATGCTGATTTTGACAAACTACGCACATGTGTATACACATACTGCAAATAGAACAAGAGAAACTACAATAAAAAGTGACAAAACCCAGTGGCGGTGGAACAAGTTTTTTAGGGTGTGGGTCATTTTTCAGCTAAGTTGGATACCATAGTTTTCATGCTAAATGAAAACACCACACGCAAAACATGAAACGCCACACGCAAAACATGATACAACTGTCGCAGCAGTAGTTAAATTAGGGGGGGGGGGGGGTGGAAA